AGTGAAGCCTTTGAGGACAAGGACACTGATTCTGTCTGCCTGTCTGATGGACACTTAGTAGCCTTCATGAAGTTTCACTGCATGAATGGGAAGCAAAGTGGCTGGGCAGTCTCTGCACGAGGGCTCAGCACTCGTCAGGACTTAGTGCCCATGTTATACAAAGCCATGAGTGAGCTCGAGTGCATTCCAAAGGAGGAGAGTCAAGGCAAGAAGAGGTTTTAAAACCTAGCTGTTGAGGCTGTTTTGCTCGGAGACGTCTTGGGTCTGAGAGCAGCCCTTAGAAATTTGAAGAGTTGCCACTATCTGTGGATCCCTGGGACAGAGCTGGGATTGCAGGCAGGTGTAGGGAAGCAGAGTTCAGTCTGGCATCTGTTTAATGCAAGGTTTTCAGCGCCGCAATATATGATGAAGGACACAGAAGCGTAACTTCCACCCTGGCGTTGCTCGTGGTCCAGTCAGGCAGATGGATATGTAGAGAGAATGTGGCAGAAAGGAGTACTGAGTTTTGAAGATTTCTTTGAGGAGATTATTTTTATGCCGATTTGCAAAAGATGACAACTGCTCTTCAAGAGTTAGAGAATCTGGGTGGAAGGAAATTCTGAGGAAAGACCTGAAGCAGCAAATGCATTAAAGAAAAGAAGTTCCTACAGTAGGCCTGGCGCACCGGGGAGCCAATGAGAAGGGAAGTGGAAGAAAGGCGTGGAAGCTGATCACACTGGGCCTTGTCTGCCAAGCCAAGGGGTTTGGAGCTGGATATTGCAGGCAGTGGAGACCCAGGAACAGACTGTCAGCAGGGAACTGTGTTTCTTTCTGAATTTGAGGAAGAAGAGTGTGGGAGTGTGGGAGCAGGTCTCAGAATTTAGCCTCGGATCCCTGCATCAGTGTGCAGGTAGAGGTCTGCCCGGTGTGTCCAGCCTGTTCCAGGCGGCAGGCACTGAGCCGTGGAGAAAAGGGCTAGAAGACTAGACTGAAGGCAGCTGGGAAGCAAACCTTTTCGCTCCTCAGTCAGCTTTACTGTTTTTCAGGATTGGTCCAGTTGTGAGGGGACCAAAAAAGGATGAAAACTTCTGTAGATAACAGTAGATAACATCCTTTTTTTTTTTTTTTTTTTTTTTTTTTAATGTTAAATGAACCTACGGAGGAAAATAACAAACGTGCACCTAAGCCAGAGCCCTCAGATGAGGTCAGGCTTTCCTTTTTTTTTTAAAAAAAACCTGAGTCAGGGCAGAAAGAGTAGGTAAAGTAGTGTAATGGTTTGGTAATCATGAAAAGTAGAATAACACAATTTTTACTTTTTTCTTTGACAAAGAGATTAACTGGACAGAAATAAAACTGCAAAAAAAAAAAAAAAAAGAAAAACCTTACCACCTTAAAGTATCTCAAAGCCATTAGACCCACTCCTCTGTATCCCAGAGAGCTGCTGGAAGCTACAAATATTTTCTGTTAACAACAATTGGGAATATTTGAGAAATCATGGAGAATGTAGGGTGACGGAAGACTAGAAATGGGCAAATAGTATTCCAGCTATCAAAATACCTACAGTTAATGGCTTTAGCTATTTTTCTAAACTATAACCTTATGAACCAAACTGAAATGTTAGTCTGTATTTCGAGGAAAGATACAGGTATAAAGAACAAAACAATTATCAACTTCTAAACACAATATTTAAAGACCCTGAAGACTGCGTTGTTTCAGGACTTTAAGTTGTTTAATGATGACTATAACTGTTTTATGTGTTCTTAAAAAGGTTGGAGAGGACCTTTGCTTAGCAATTGTTTTTTAGCTGTGTTTGAATTTTTGTATGTACTTCCAAGTAATAAAACTATATTTATAAAATATTTCTATACTTGAGACTTATTACTAATCCACTTTGTCATAAACATTGTATTGTGAACATTTTACTCATAACCTAGATGTCAGAGTCACTAGCTTTTCCAGGTTTAACTCTGTTTTCTAGACCATTTAATTGGAAAACTGTATGATTCTCTGTGCTGATAACTCAGTGGTCTTATAGTTGGAGCATCAAAGGTCCCTCTTGAAGAGCACATTGGGGAAAGCCTCTTGCCCTTGGACAACAGAGGTTTCAGAATCCATGGAAGAGGAAAAGTGCAGCTTCCAAATCCGTTCTCTAAAATGCTTGCCCCGCCCTGCCTAGCAGTTTCCTCCTCGTCACCGCCAGCGCCTAGGACAGTTCACTCCCAGTGCTCCCACAGCCCTGTCTGTGTTTCAGGGCACGCTATCTATTTATTTAGAGTTGGAAATACATGTATATGCTTTTCCTTTATCATCACTGAATGCCTTCAAAGTAGGACCTCATCTCTATTCTCAGCAACTTGTTACAGTGGAAATAGTCAGGAATTCTCTGATGGAAAAAGGTAATAAATGGCTGAACAAATACACGAATAAAAGACTAGAAGGCATCACCCTAACTGGAATAGCCTCTGCTAGCTAATCTGTAAAATCTCAATTATCTTCTAATTTTTCTCAGCCAAAACTCTGTTAGTGAAATTTAGTTGCCTTAAATCCTATATTCTAAACTGGCTTTTGGGGTCCTAAGAGTTTTTGTGTAGAATAAATTAAAATGTTGCAGTTCACATCAACCCAGAGATACAAAAGGATGAGAATGACACACAAATGCCCTCTTGAGCACTGTAGAGCCCTGCAGAGGTTCTGGAAGGTTCCTCATGAATGCTGCACATTTCCCATGAGGTCACTCTGACCCCTTAGTCTTTGAGCCTCATGGCGGAAACATCATGCAGTTAGCATTCAGTAAGCATTACTTACCTACTGTTGCCAGGTTAAAGATGTAGTAGTTAACTAGAGAGTGCCCCTGATGTCAAGGAGCTAAAAGTTGAGTTAAGGAGCAAAATGGATGCTTTAAAAAAGTGATTAGGACAGAGTGTTGTAGGTGCAATGATGTGAGTTGGCCACAGGGGACATGGAGATAGGGACAGCCTTGGGAACCAGGGTAGCCTTCCTGGAGGAAGTGATTTCTTGGCTAGGAAAAGGAGCTATATTTCCCTGAACACATCAAGCTCCTTCCTTCCAGAATTCTATTTATAGAGGTTGTCCTTCTTCTCTTTGTGTGATAGTTAGGTATTGCTGACCAGGTGTTTCTTCCAAGTCATGTCCATTCAGATAAAAGATTATGTATTTGCCTTTCCAAGTTGTGTCCTCTGTGTCACTTAGGATGGCTGCCAGGGAGGAAGGTATACAGCCCTCCCTCCATGCCCTGTGCGAACTTGCACAGGTAGGATTAGATCACTCTTGAAAGCCTGGTATTTTGTCTTGCCCTAACCAAAGCACAAGAAAGGGAAATAAAACACAACATCGCTGGTGACATCAATTCTGACTAATGAGCAGGGGTTTCTGATTTAAATCACTGCTTAACAGTCTGTTTCAGACATTTGTGAGGATTTAAAGGTAAATTTCCAGGTCTGTGGCTTTTAGAATCAAAATTTACCCCTTATTTTCTGGTTCCTCAAAAGTTACGGATAGTATTTTACAATCATACCCAGACAAGTGGCAGCAGGCTATTACAAATGATATAACCTAGAGCAGAAAGGAGCTATGGAAGATTACTAAGTGTCCAACACTATTACTTTTCTACCAGCTCACTAAGAGGCTCTGATAAAATCAGTATGTAAGCCTTAGCATTGGAGACCTGGGTTCAAATCCTGGCTAGTGTCTCCCTCTTAACTTCTAGCCCTGTTCTTGCCTAATTCCAGTTTCTGTTTGCTTGACAAAGCCATTAAATTCTTGCTGATAGACCCAGTGTTGGTACTAGTCCATCAGACTATATATCCCTAGGTCCCGGTTACTCTGACTCCACCAATCTGTTGGGAAGACAGAAAATAAATCAACCTGAATTGATTTACTCTTTATCCTCTCTTCTAAGTCATGACTTTTAATAAGAAAAAGAAATATCTTCACCTCCATCTGAAAATTGGAATTCATAGCTTCTAAGTCCTAGATATATTTTTCAGATTTCTTCGGTCACATTATTCCTGTCAATATACAGAAGTGGGTATGTCTTAGAAAGTTGTGTCCCCCAAAGAGAGCAGACTTACATGCTATGACCTCATCATCTGAGAATCACTAACTAGGGATGTCGTTTGCCATTGATCACTGTATTTCATGCCAGGAATATGATAGAATCCCTGACCTGGAGGAAGCTTACAGTCTAGTTGGGGTGAGCATACCACCACAAAAGAAAGAATTCCAATCCTTTGAAGTCCTAAAACAGTGCAGAATTAACCACAAATGGAGTGGGAACCACCGAATCACAGCTTCAAGAAATGTTTATGTGTAAAGATGGAAAAGTGGACTGTGAAGGACTGGCACTCTAAGAATAAATTTCATGACTTTTCTCAGTGGGTTTTCAACAAATATTTATGGAAAGGATAGTGAGACAGGAAGAAAGCGGGCATTCAGTATTAAGCAGGGGATCTCACAGAGGTAAGAAAACACAAATCTTTCTTATGTACAGGAGAGGAAAGCAAATATGCTAAATATACCAGCAAATGTGAGGGTTTTTTTTTGCCCCTGGCAACAAAAGCAAAATGAGAAACACAGACGGTAATAGCACAAAGCATCAATTCCTTTAAACACAGGATTAAATTTTTAGAGAAAGTGTATTAGAATGTATTTCCACCTAATCGGCTTCATCACTCAGCTACATTTAATTTCTTGGTGCTCTCTAAGCACACCTTGTGCCCTTTGCACATGGCAGTTCCTCTACAGTAGAAGCCCGAAGCACCATCATTAATCAGGCCTGTTGTGAGGGTGCTGTCCAACCACCACGTTACAGTCTTCCCCCTTTTCCAAGCAGAGTTAGTCATTCTATTATTTATGCCCTTGTATTGCTTTGTTCACTCCTTCTAGGATACTTATTGTATTTTACTTTTTGCAGGATCAGATTTCATTAGAATGAATAGATTCTGTAGGTCTAATATTTTCCCATTTATGGCCCCAACATTCAGCATACAACAGGAGTCCAGTTAAATATTCAATGAATTTATTGCATGGTTCCTTATTCAAGCACCACTTGGCAACATAATGCATGACAAATGGATTCAGTAACCTTTACAGAATTTGTGGGGATTCTCAACATTGGGCTTTTCCTGTGCGGATTCTGGCTAACAGCAAAACGGAAGACATCTTTAGGGGGCTTAATTAGTGAAACCCAAGTAAACATCTTCTTACTGTAAAAACATGTCAAGTGCTGGAGAAGGGTATGCAAATTGTGTACTGCTGACTGCCTTTCTCATATATGGTATGAGTGAAGTTTTCACAGGGGTTAGACAATGGTCCATCCAAGGCTGGGTTAATTATGCTGCTGATGAATTCTCATGCTTGCCTCTGAGGTGCACAGGTGACGACATTGACATTGACATTGTCTGAAGGTTAAGATGTTTTCAAGGTTCAGAAATTGAATGTAGTTTCTTTTGGGGAACAGTATTTCTTTAGGAAGCATGTTTTAGGCCTGTACAAGAGCTTAAAAAGATTTCAGGTGACTGCTTTTGCAAAATAAGTATTACAAAGAAAATATTTTAGGCCAGAGAATGTAAACATAGTTTATTGTGAGTTTGTGCCTTCACCATAGAAAACCCTAAAATCGTTCTTGTAGAATATCTCTTTGTCAGTGGCACTACCGGACCAGAATATGGAAGACTGTGAATGTCAGTCCAAGGGATTTGAATTTTATTTGGTATTCAAGTGGAGCCACTGAAAAATTTTCTGCAGAAAAATGAAAGATGGACTTGGTTCTTAGTCCTATGGCAGTGATGTAAGAAACTGAGGGGCTTCAAAGTTGAGGAAGATCAACTATAGGGGTGTAAGGCAACAGTCTGCTACTAGAGTGATGACTAGGATATATTTAGAAATGGATACGACTCAAATTTAAAGTAAAATTGACAGGACCAGGGTAGATAAAAACAAAGTGCTTGGGCCCCTGTATCCACATGGGAGACCCAGAAGAAGCTCCTGTCTCCTGGCTTTGGTCTGGCCCAGCCCTGGCCATTGTGACCATTTGGGGGAGTGAACCAGTGCATGGAAGCACTCGCTCGCTTGCTCGCTCTCCCTCCTTCTGTCTCTATAACTCTGCTTTTCAGATAAATAAAATAAATCTTAAAAAAAAAAAAAAAATGGAGGGAGTCAGGTTGGTGACCAACACTAGCACTAGGGGAATCCCAAAGGCCGTCATCCCTGATAATAAGCTTTACGTGATGGAGCCCAAACTAGAACACTCTGCTCTCGGGGCTCCCCCATCCAGTTCTCTCTCTGTTACAGCTGATTTGGGATGCTAAGGCTGATCCAAAAGACCACAGGCCTCAGCAGGCAACCTGATAAGGCACAGCTAAAACTCAAATTACTTTAGGGATTTTTTTTTTCTTAGACCATAATTCTAGCTCTCGTGCCAACTATGTAATTTTGAACTGCTCTTTGGATTTGGCACCTTTCATGTTTTCTTTCTTTCATTAATATTGCAGAGATCCATTTCTTGCCTAACACAATAAACTAATTTCCTTGAGAGGAGTAGGTTAGACACTAAGTGAATCTTTTACCATTGATTATTTGATACCCCAAAAGTTTATGTAAAAGGGTGTCAGATTAGTGACTAAATAGTGAGAACCACTTCTTAGAAAGAAAGCGCCAATAAAAACACAAACAAAACCTTAGCATTTCCTATGAGCTTAGGCTAGAGGGGAAGCTTGCCTGCCGCCCCCGGGCCTCTGACTACTGACAAGTGTTAGCTAACATCCAGGGTGCCTGCGTGCTCCCGCCACTCTACTTCATGTCAAGAAATGACCCATTTCCCAGGAGCACCTTCCCCCGGGCTTCCCTTCCTCCCCCCTCCTGAGGGTTTCACACAGCAGCAACGAAGGGCAGTGGGACCCTGAGAAACAAACGCCTTCATTTTACAAACTGACGTGAAGTGTGGTTTGGCTTCTGTACTTTATGGGAGAAAAATCCTGTTTGTTATGTATTTATGTTCCTTCAGCTTCTTGTGATTGGTATTTGCAGGATCTGGTCCTTACTCCTGTCTAAGTGCTCCTTGAAGCAAATGAGGGAAGGCAGCAGCCCACAGACAGCGGTTTTGGGACTTAGGGGATTCTCACTTTACAGAACGCCATGCAGTAAAACCTCATGGTCCTTCCCCAGGAGCTCTGGTCAGTTTTAAGCAATCTTAGGACACTGGCTCCTAAAGACACCTGGAGAGATTTAGGCCAGCAGAAGAAAACAAACTGAGGAAGGAAGTGCAGTCATAAGGATCAGAGAGTATGGTCTGTGACTAATAAAAATGGAGATGGCCTTTCTTATGTGCTTTGCAAAATGTCTTTGGAACCAATTCCAAAGGAAAACTCTTAAAAAAAAAAAAAAAAAAAAAGGTCCGTGTAATCCTAATGTCACTACACTAAGTCCTTGGCTACCCAAGAGTATCCATTTAAATAATTACCTGACTCTATGAGTTACATTTGTCATAAAAAGCATTAAAATTTATTTTAAAATTGTCTAAAAAGCACTGTTTTAACAATGGTTATAACCCAGGAGTATGAGGAAATTCTAAGAAACTCTCTAAGATGGTCGAGTGGGTGGAGACAGTTACAGCCCAGGGTCCAGAATCAGCATGAAGCACTGCTGCATCAGCCACCACTACAATTTCGGGGGCTGTTGGACACTTGGCAAGCAGTCAGGAGATTTAGGAAAACAATTGTTTTAAAAGTGCAAATGAATGAGTTACGTAGTTTCCAAGCCTACCTTGCAGCCTGTGTGGGTGTTTGTGTAAAGCAGAGCAAGGACCCACCTCAGTTGTGTGTAGAGAAGCAGCACAGTGTGAGAGTTCTGCAGTTCAACAAACCTAGTTAACGTCTGGGCTCACGTCTTTGGTGCTGAGTAACCCTCTGTACACTATTCAGTTCCTCGGAAGCTCAGTTTCCGTACCTGCAAAATGCCTAGGGAAGTACCTGGCACCAGAAGGTCTTCAGTAACTGTCAGTTCCTCTGTAAGGGTGGTTTTTTCAAACTAAGGGTAGCAACACATTGTTGGTTATTAAATCAATGTAGTGGGTCGCAACTGGCTTATTTTAAAAAGTGAAACAATAAAAGCATCAGAATGCCCTTTTCATAACAGTAAGTGGTGTTTCCTTATGCATATCTTGAGTATTTACGTAAGTGCAGTTTTTACTGTGGGTTGCAGCGAAAGTTTCAAAGTCTCTGTTCTACAGAGAAATTCTCAATTACATCAACAAGTCCCTAAGAGTGCTGCCTTTATCTAGATGAGCCCCTACAAATTTTAACACTCTACAGAGTGTTCCTTACTTCCTGCAATAAAAACACATGAATCATAGAAAAGATAAACTTAATACTATAGGAAACTAAATGAAATTTTAAGATTGATTTCTGTATCAGATGGATTTATAAACAATTTGAAGTTTATATGCATGTCATGTATAGTTTATTAATCACTTCTATAAGTTTCTACTAAAAGTTGACAGTTTCTATCACTAAAACAGGATACAATTTCTAAATAATTTTAAATTACAAAACTTTTTTGAAGGACTGTACCTTGCCTAAGCATTAAGACTGCTAGTGTAATATTCCATATCTGATGAGCAGAAAAAGTCAAAAGCTTGTATGAGTGCACATATAGAGGTGTCCCACACTGGCTCAGTAAAAATGAGAGATCCCCAAACAAAATGTATGCTTCAAATACAGGCCTCCTCTTCAGGAAACCAGCCTTACATTATCGAGTCCCTAGTATTGTTGCTAAGATGTTCAGTTCTAAGTAGAGCTAATTTTGGGGTTGGCGGAGTGGAATAATAGGCAGTAGTGAAGAGGAGTATAATACTGGAAATCACAGAATTAAGTGATACAGCTGAATACTTTAACAGCTATACCTTAGAGTTATAATTTCAGCTGACCAGGCTGGACTGGCTATATCAGAATCACCTATGGGACTGAGTTTTAGGAATCTTGTTTTAAGTTAGCACCTGGCTGAGTTTTGAGTCTCATTTATGTTTGAATACCATGTGTTAAAGGGATGACAAGGACCAGAAAATAGAAAAATGGTAGAATTCAAAAGCAACTGTCCCAACCAAAAAGGAATCTAATATCAGATACTGGATCAGAATCTGCTACTTATTCAAAGTATTTCCTTCTTGGTAATATTATTAGAGATATAAGTCAGCAGGTAGAAATACTTGATACTTTCAGGTTACTTAAGTATGAGAAGTAGTGCTTTGTCTCACTAGAATTCATTGGTGAGATTCAAAAGGAATGAGGGAAAAAGGTCTATAGATTAGACACAGAAGTGAAAAGTTAAGTGATAAACCATTTGACTCCCTGATAAACCTTTGCTCCCAGGCAGAGACAGCTCCACCTTTTGGGGTACAGGTGCCCGTTCTTCCCTCAGAATAAACAGTAAGGCAAAAGATAGTTCCTTCCTTTTCCAAAAGAGTTGGGTGTAGAATGAAGTTGCCTATAATCTTAAATTCCTTTTTTCTTTTAAATTTAAACACTTTGCTGTCTGAGATAGACATGAGGTTGGGCTGGACCATGCTTGTTGTCAATGTCAAACGTTAGGATTAGCACCACAAATCCTGCATTCGGTCTGAGTCTTGGCACTAGGCTTTGCCTTTCAACAACTGTGAGAAAAGGGAAGTATGAACACCATTCTTGGGAAGAAACAGCAACACATGAAAAGTCAAGGAAAGCATCAAATACCAAAGCCTAGAAAAAGGACAGTGGTAATAGAATTGAGGTAGAAGCTAGTTCTTAGCTCTCCCAAAGGCCAGCTAAAGAGAAAATAGGGTCAGAGAAACCCCATGCGGTAGACACATTAGCCCCTAGAAATTGGAAGACATCCCATGAAATGGTCTGACATCCTTACCTACACCCCACTCATTTTAGCCCAAACTCTACCAACATTGGAAATACATTTCATTTTCTTTTTTTTTTAAACCTAGAGGTTACAGAAAAGAATGAAGAGAGATAAGAGACATTATGAGAAGGCAGATCAAGAGGAAACGGCTCATTATATAAGGGTAGAATTACCCCACAAACCAAAGAACAGGCGACAATTAAAAGGATGGGAAGGCAAAGGACACCAGATCTTTGCCATGTTATATCAGGTTGGCTGACAAAGCAAGCTTGGTGACTGGCTTAGTAAGTATCCTATCACATGAGAGTGTGTTTTTTATTTAAGAAAGGCAGAGGAGTTCAGAAAAGCTAGTGTCATAAATGGAGATATTTGAGAGAGAAGCTGTGCCTGCCTTTCCATTTTCTTAACACTTTAAATTTCTTTCACCAGAATACACAGTTGGACCAAACTGCTCTAGGGCTCCCTTAATGGACTCCATGAAGTAGTCCACCTGTGCCCTTACCAGGTCTTGATTTCTCTATCTGGTAATGGTAAGAAAGGCTTCCGAACTCCCATTCTTTTCCTTGCCAAAAGGCCTAAATAATCTAGAAATATACTTGGTGTTAAGGTCTCTAATTCAGAATAATAGAACAGTTCCTTCCATAACTCAACATTTTTACATATCTTAAGTCATTATCAGAGGTTTCACATTTCCAGGCAGAAAATTTGCTCTTTGGCAGTCTTTAAACTTTACCTAACAGAAATGATGCAGCCTCAGCCTTGGCTCCTCAATCTCTAACATTTCCATTCATACCCCAGCAAACAACAAACTATGTTTTATCACAGTTCAAACTTGCGTGAGCATCCACTTGTAGGGCTGCTGTCTTGATATACTTGATTTCAAAAACTAAGTGTCCAACAGCAGCAAAGGTCCTCATTAGAATAGACATTGGCGCCAATAATACCAAAATGTGGTTTTTAACTGCATTTTTTGTCAGTTTGGCTCGGAAGATCTGGACAGCTGGAAGTGAGCTTCTCCATCATTTTCTGTTTCTTCCTTTGTATCAATTTTCCACCTGTGAAGCCCAACACCCCACCACCAAGTGCAGCTGCAATTCCTGCCACTTTGAAGCCTGCAAGGAGGCCAATCGGACCCCCCACCACTCCTCCGATGAGTGCACCTGCCACAGGCAGAGCTGCCAGCTTGTATTTTGCAGCCTGTAAAAAAAAAATTCAATTTAGAAATTGAGTTGAGAATATCTGCCTGTGGTGATGTGCATTTTCCTCTCATTACTCCTTGCAATGCCTATTTAACTCCTAGTACATAATTAAACTTAGAGATTATATTTGTGGGGCTTGTGGGGCAGAGGAAAGAAAATATTCCACAGGTACTACAATTGTTCCAATGATCAGAAGTTGGAAGAATGAGCTATAAAGAGTGGACAGCTAACAAATTGATTTTACTTGTAAAACAATCAATCCATGGTTTATTTAAACAGTTTCGGCAGTCACAGATTCCCACCCTTGCTTCAAGCTTTTATGTTGCACAGAGATTATTCCATGTTATGTATCTGGGGTTAAAAACAACATCCTATGGAAAACAGGATCCTACTCCACATATGCTATTATGTCCTTATAGTCTAGCCCTGACTGGATTCTTGCAACCCTCCTCTCCCTGGACCTCTGTGCATATTCCCTTGAAACACCAAATAGCTAACAGTAGGGTACAGTTAATTCTCTCCTGGAAAAAATTCCTCTCCTGATAGAATGAATCTTAGAGTAGAATATTACAACCATTGATTTCTGGCACCACCTATGTGTCATTTCTTCCTTATTTCCTTAATTGCTGGTTCTCTCAACATTGAAGAGAGCAGATCAATCGGGTTAATACTAGAGATTCCTGGGAGCCAGAGTACCATTGATTTGTCAGCAGGAGCAGAATCTTACCTTCCCCAAGTTTTTGGTTCCCTCTTCAACATTCACAGCAGCACTGTTGACATGGTCTGCAATGCTGTCAATCTTCTCCTGCTGAGACTAGATGCAAAGGAATTATGAGTGAGCATGCCTGCTGGGGATCAGCAGGAAGCCAACACACACTATTTTAATTCCTGTAATCAGGGCCCCGGGTACTGCAGCCTTGCAGTCTTAATAATGGTTCATTAATAGCATCTGATAAACCATGTCAAAGGTACAAATTCACTTTCGTGAAAAAAAGAGGGAGACTTAATTATTTGGTAATAAAAGGGTGGCACCTTTCCAGCAAAAAGCACCTCACACTGAAATACATTCAAACATATAAACATACTATTCTCCAAATGCATCGACTTTCCAGAGGAAAAAAATCCAAATAAGCATTTTCATGTCAGGTTGGGCTTGAAGGAAAAAAAAAAATCAGACCAAAAAAAACCTCTCTAACTTATCTTTTTTGAAGATTCTGTTTAAAGCAGGCAAATTTACCTTAGGAGTTAAAGTGCCTTTGATCCATTAAATACAAACTGCTGTGTTTTAGGGATAAGACTACAATATGATTTACCGTGAAATCTTTCTACTTGTGATAAGCAGTAGGGAGCACTGAATGAATTTACCATCCTATGTTTTACGCCTGAATACTTTAATATATTTTAAATTCATGACAAGTTAAAATGTCTCAGATAAAACATATTAATAGAGCATTCGACATAAAATCACCACACCTGTGCTGACAGAACAGTGACTGTGGTTCACATGATTTCTGGGTAGAAGAAATGCTGGGTCACCAAGTGCAACTCTCCAGTGTGCCCCGCCCCCCCTTCTGACAGGTTGTTACCAGTCCTCTGTTCATCACCTCCAGTGACAGGAAGTTGCCACAGAAACACAATCCACTTTTTAAATGTCTAAAAAAGATTTTTAGATAGAATTTTAAGACAATATGCACCCATTTTAATGGTACAGTATGAGTTTTGAGAAATGTATAAACTGATGTAACCACCACCACAATTAGTAGAGAGACTATTTTTTTTAATTTGCAGAACAAAAGAGAAGAATCTGTCTCTGATCCCAAATAAATGTCACTTTCTACAATGAGTGAGAAATAAACTTAGAGAAGTATTTGCCCTTGACCTATTCATTTATACTGAGGTAGACATAAATAACACTATTCTGATTCCAATCATCATTTCATTTGAGGACATGAAGCCCACACAACACAGCCATTTTTTCTGACAGCTGTTTCCCATTAGCATTATTAACATTCCTTCCTTTCTCTCCATTCAATATGTGCCTTTTCACATATATTGGGACTTCTGTGGTATTCTTTCATTCTAATATTCTCCACTACTATGTTTTTTAAAATTTATTTCTACTTGAAAGGCAGAGAGAGAACTCTCCCATCCACTGGTTCACTCCCCAAAACACCTGCAAAAACCAGGGCTTGGCCAGGTGGAGAAAGGGAACCAAGCTCAGTCCAGGTACTCTACATGGGGGGAGGGTTCCAAGTACTTGCTCTGTTGCCTGCTGCCTCCCAGGGTGCACATTAACAAGAAGCTGGAATCGGAAGCAGAGCCTGGCACTCTTATATGGGTTGTAAGGAGTCCCACACGGCAACTTGGGCACTATGCCGTCAGCCCTTCTCTACCACTGTCTTAGCATCTGTAACACAATCCTTTAAAAAGTCCTTCATCCGTTCTCCTTTGAACATCTCTGTCAGAGACAAGTACAACCTGAGCATGCAGCAGAGAAGCCTGAGGGCTTCTTAAAACAAAGATTGCTGGTTCCCACTGTCAGAGTTCCTGAGTTCTGAGAAGTTCACAGGTGGTGCTGATGCTTCCATTTCTCACCCTTTAAAAATCATTATATATGGTAAGATTAAGGGCACAGCCTTTGGTCAGATATTCTATATTCAAATCCCAGCACTGCCACTATCTGCCCCAGGACAAAATTACTCAGGCACTCTTCAGCTATCAAATGAGGATAATGATACTTACAGCTCATAGGGCCAAAGAAAGAATAAAATGAGATGTCTGCCAAGTAAGAGGAGAAAATAGAAAAAAAATCATCCTGATCTTCCCAAGAAAGTGTTAACTCTCATCTTTCCATCAAAAAATATAATAAGCTTTTTCCTATGATGCTTGAAAATTCTAGGGCAGTAAAACATGAGATCTCTCCTAACATTCATTCATCCAATTCTCATTTTTTCTCACAGTAAAACTTTAAGTCATCTTTCTTTTTCTTGTCTAGAGAAGCAAAAGTGCCAGCACTAATTATATCCAACTTGCCTGGACTTCTGACACTCTTTTAGGTTTCCATTTGAGACACCCTCGGCACTTTACACTTTTGCCTGTAACAGTCTGTGCTAGCAGATAAATCACAGGGGTAAAACTCTACAATCAACCTTCAGATCTTGATGAGTTGATGGGGAGAGGAAGAATATTCAATGTGTCTCCCTCCCCTCAGCCAAAAATAATTCCAGCAAGAGGGAGGAAACTTCCAGGATTATTGCCATTCCCATTCCCTAAGCATGATCGCAAGGTCTCAGGGAAATGTTTTTAATGTTCCTTCCTAAAGAAAGGTTGAACAATGCAATATGTAAAACTTTTCTTTTAAAGTGAAATTTCAAGATCATTTAATTTTAATTTTTTTGCAAAAATTATTTGGAATAATTGGAGGAGAGACTACAAGAAAAATAATTCTGGGATCACTGATGATCTGAACTATGAAGCCTTCCATCAATGCAATCATATGCACTGGATGAGGCTCCCTCACCCTGGCAAGCAGCCTACATCTGTAAGTACTTATTCACTGACATCAGGAAACCTGCTCACATATGGAGTGGGGGCATGGGGATAAGGCAGAGAGCCTCTATCCTGGAATCAACAGCCAACCTTCCATTACACACATCTGCCTTTCTCTTCCCCTTATTTTGCTTGATGTGAATTCTAAACTGCCTATGTCTTCGAATTCCACTTCTCAAGAAAGGACAAACTCATTGACACAATGATTACAGTTAGGCAGCAAAGTGGTGTCAAAAACTGCCAATTACTATCAGTAGAATGTCAAACTAGACTCCATTCACAGCTGAATCTAGTCAACATTGGTCCACTATGTCCTTGACTCTGTATTCTAAGCCAAACCAAATACACACAAGCCTATCCAGTCTACAAAAGCAAGCTCCTATCAATGGTGAAGCAGAAGTTACTCACTTCTATCTAGCAACTTCCCCTTTCTGCTTCTGATTTGTCTATATTTGTTTACATCTTTTTTCTTTTTTAAAGATTTTATTTATCTATTTGAGAGGTAGAGTGACAGGGAGAGACAGAAAGGTCTTCCATCCACTGATTCACTTCCCAAATGGCTGCAATGGCCGGAACTGGGCTGATTAGAAGCCAGAAGCCAGGACCCAGGAGCTTCTTCTGGGTCTCCCACCTAGGTACAGCAGCCCAAGCACTCAAGCCATCTTCCACTGCTTTCCTAGGACATAGCAGAGAGCTGGATCGGAAGAGGAACAGCTGGGACTTGAATTGGCATCCACGTGGGTCGCTGGTGTGAAGGCAGAAGCTTAGCCTACTATACCATAGCACCAGCCCCAGTTTGTTTTAATTTTACTAGGCCTCCAATGTGTGACCATCTTCAAACTCTGGCATTTTATAACTTATCCCAAAAACATATTCAACATCCCTTTAAGAATGAGCTAATCCATCTATAATGGATTCCGCCATGTTTCTCACACTAGAACATAGTAGAGACCTACTTTTTAAAATTTAATAAATAAAAATTCCCAAAGTACAACTTTTGGATTATAGCAGCTTTTACCCCCCCATAACCTCCCTCCCACCCACAACCATCTCATCTCCCACTCCCTCTCCCATCCCATTCTTCATCATGATTCATTTTCAATTATCTTTATATACAGAAGATCAAATTAGTATATACTATGCAAAGATTTCAACAGACTGCACCCACACAGATAACACAAAGTATAAAGTACTGTTTGAGTAGTAGTTTTACCGTTAATTTGCATAGTACAAAACATTAAGGACAGAGGTCCTACATGGGGAGCAAGTGCACAGTGACTCCAACTGACACTCTTATTTATGACGTCAGTAATCACCCAAGGCTCTTGTCATGAGTTGCCAAGGCTATGGAAGCCTCTTGAGTTCACAAACTCTCATCTTATTTAGACAAGGCCATAATCAAAGTGGAAGTTCTCTCCTCACTTCAGAGAAAGGTACCTCCTTCTTTGACGGCCCTTTCTTTCCGCTGGGATCTCACTTGCAGAGATCTTTCATTTAGGGTTTTTTTTTTTTTTTTTTTGCCACAGTGTCTTGGCTTTCCATGATTGAGAAACTCTCATGGGCTTTTTAGCCAGATCTTAATGCATTAAGGGCTGATTTTGAGGCCAGAGTGCTGTTTAGGACATCTGCCATTCTATGAGTCTGCTGTGTATCCCACTTCCCATGTTGGATCGTTCTCTCCTTTTGAGTTCTAGCAGTTAGTATTAGCAGACCCTAGTCTTGTTTTTGTGATCCCTTTGACACTTAATCCTATCATTATGATCAATTATGAACTGAAACTGAGCACTCTGATGAGTAAGATGGCATTGGTATATGCCACCTTGATGGGACTGAATTGGAATCTCCTGGCACATTTCTAGTTCTACCATTAGGGGTAAGTTCGAGTGAGCATGTGCCGAACTGTACATCTCCTCCCTCTCTTATTCCCACTCTTATATTTAACAGGGATCACTTTTCAGTTAAATTTAAACGACTAAGAATTATTGTGTGTTTAGAGTTCAACCAATGGTTGGCTGATCAAGTCATTGTTTCTCATAGTGTCCATTTCACTTCTACAGGTTTCCTTTTAGGTGCTCAGTTAGTTGTCACAGATCAGGGAGAACAGTCCCTTTGGGACTGGCTTATTTCACTCAGCACGATGTTTTCCAGATTCCTCCATTTTGTTGCAAATGACTGGATTTCATTTTTTTTTTTTTTACTGCTGTATAGTATCCTATAGAGTACATATCCCATAATTTCTTTATCCAGTCTTCTGTTTATGGGTAT